TGCACCACCTATCCATCCCTGGTAAGGGCGGGCCCACACTCTCAGGGGTGGAGGGCGCAGCAGCTTCCCTGTGCCCCCCTCTACTTGCTTCCTCACGATGGGGAAGGTACAAAACCAGGCCATCACACGTGGGCATGGACACGTGGGGGCTTAGACAAAGCCACAGGCTTGGGTTCGGCTTCTGCATCCCCTCGGCTTTCGTGGGTGTGGGCACGTCGGGGCCCGAGCGATGTCCCACGCTTGAGTCTGACTTCTGTGTCCCCGTGGACTTCATCCTCTGCAGCCCTATCCCTGAGTGAGTGGAGCTTGAGTGGGTGGCTGGAAGCACCCGTCAAAGTCACTCAGACAAGCGGCCCTCGAGGCCAGAGATGGAAGTGAGACAAGTGTTTTCCTTCCCCACAACGGGAGGGACCCCCTCACCTGGCAATGAAACTTCTAGAAGGGTTGAGAGGAGGTGGGGGACTTGGGGGATGTTGGCGGACACGGGGAGCCCCGGGTAAGCATCGTGCTAGCCCATTTGTCAGAGACGTTGAGTGACCTGCATGGGGAGTCGTGGGGAAACAGGAAATGAGGGTGGACAGATGGTCCTCCAACAGTAGGTTGAGCCACAGATGGCTGAGCCCTCTCTGAGCTCTGTGGGGTCGGCTGAGCCCTCTCTGAGCTCTGTGGGGTCGTGAATGCTGGGGAAAGCTAAAAGTGACAAGCGTGTGTCTGCAGGGAGCCACGACACCATGACCTATTGCCTGAGCAGGAAGTCCCCCATCTCCCAGGCACAGTCCAGGCTGCTACATCTGTTGGGCCGGGTGGCGCCCTGCATCACGCGCCCTATGGTGCTGAAGTGGTCGGTTACACAGGTGAGATGGTCGTGGGAAACTCCTGGTAAACTTGTGGGGAAAGAGCGACATTAGTCATGGTAATGGGGGTGGGCGAGGAGGACACGGTGGGGGCAGCCTAGGCTGCACCAAAGGGTCTGAGCACTGTGTCTTGTCCCAGCTGTCCAGGCAGGTGTGGACACAGTGTGCTGTGAGCCTCTGGGGCGGGGTTAGGGGACCAGATGTACAGGGGTCGGGAGAGCGGGACTGTGAGCCCCAGGGCTGGGTTAGGGTCTGCGGGCTTAGGACACCAGGTGCTGTGTAGGGTTTGGGTTGATGCACCCCGGGAACGCACGGTGACTGGGCATCAGGGCGTCTGCTGCAGGCACTGGACATAACGCAACAGCTGGACGAGGGGGTGCGGTACCTGGATCTGCGGATAGCGCACATGACGGGAGGCTCCGAGAGGAACCTGCACTTCGTCCACATGATCTACACTACAGCGCTGGTGGAGGTGGGGAGCTGGGGGGTCACCTGAGCTCAATTGGGACAGGGCGGGGGATGGGAGGGACTAGGTGGAAAGGGATCCCAGTCCGCCAGGCTCTGAGACGCATCCCCGTAAAGTCTCCACCACACCCTCCCAGAGATCTCTGAGTGGCTGGAGTAGCACCCCTGTGAGGTCGTCATCCTGGCCTGCAGGAATTTCGAGGGGATGACGGACGAGCTGCACGAATACCTCGTGGGCTGCATCAAGAACATCTTTGGGGATATGCTGTGTCCGCGCGGGGTAAGGAGGGGTGTGGTCGTGTGGCTGCTTGGGGCCTAAACCCATCATGTTCATGGCTTCACACAGCCCCTTCCATGCAGGACATCCCCACGCTGCGGCAGCTGTGGGCGCGGGGCCAGCAGGTGATCGTGTCCTATGAGGATGAGGCCTCCGTGGGTCGCCACGTAGAGCTGTGGCCAGGAATCTCCTACTGGTGGGGAGACAAGGTGAAGTCGCAGGCACTGCTGCATTACCTGGAGACCATGAAGAGCTGCGGTCGCCCAGGTGCCAAGCGGTATAGAGGCCGGGGCGGGGTGGATGTCTGTGGGGATGTCACCTGTCAGTGTGGTGGAGATGCTGTGCGTGTGTGTGGGGAATGCCACCTATCAGTCAGGTGGGGGTGGGCGGGCACTGGTCACGTGGGACAGGGTGGGCTTCCCTAGGGAGGCCATCCTGTCAGTCTCACAGGCTGGCCTTGGACCCCCGTGTCACATGGCCCCTCCCTTTCAGGTGGCCTGTTCGTGGCGGGCATCAACCTCACAGAGAATGTGGAGTATGTACTCGCACACCCATCGGGGTCCCTGGAGAGGATGACACTGCCCAACCTCCCGTCTCTGAGCGCATGGGTGCGCGAGCAGCGACCAGGGCCTGGTTCCCACTGCACCAACATCATTGCAGGGGACTTCGTGGGCGCCGACACTTTCGTGAGTGATGTCATCAGACTCAACCTTAAGCTACTGTGGCCCTGACCACCCCCACACAGTGGCCCAAGGTGCAGGGCTCAGGACAAGGTCAGCGTCACAGATGTCAGGGTCCTGAAACACGTGAATGCTGTGTCCCGTCGTCCCCTGTGAAGGGCTGAGGCCCGAGTGAGCCAGCCTGCGCCACACCAGCAGGTGCAGGTTTCAAACTCCCAGTACCCGCAATGCCGCCTCATGGTTATTTCCGGTCACCAGGACATAGGCAGACCTAAGTTCCAGAGCGATCGATCCATGTCAGGCCCCAGAGTCCATGGAGGTCATGTGACCCACTACATAGCAGTCACTGGGTCATGGAGGTCATGTCATCATTCTGGGCCTGCATTACCCTTGGCTCAGCATCACTAATTAAAATCTTCTGAAGCCAACTGTGTCTGTGATGGTGTGTTTGTGCAGTGTCTTCAGTAGCCCAGGCTAGACTCTCATTGGGGAGATTCGGGGGACAGTCTTGGACTCCATCCCTCCTGCCTCAGTTACCAAAGGAACCACCACCCCACCTAGTTTGAATGGTTTGCAAGGTGAGCACTCTGCTGAGTCACAAACGCCCCAACCACTGAGCCACAAGCCCCCAAGTACTAAGCCACAAGCACCCTACCCACTGAGCCACAAGCACCCTACCCACTGAGTCACATCCTATGCTTGTTGGGAATTTCCACTATCTCCCTGCAGAGAAACCTGACACATGACTCGTGACCCTGTATCCTCAGTATTAGTGCATTTTTCAGGTCAGAGAGTTAAAAGGTGTCCCAAGAGGTTGGATCCCCCCCCCCCCAAGTCTTCAGGGATGCTACTGAGTCTGAAGCTGAGAGGATGGAACTGTGTCCCTGTCACATGATTCAGAGGCGCAACCAGGGTGTGGGGTGAAGTGACCTTACTTGTGTCTGTCCTCCCCTTAGGGACCCTCCACACCCACCGCCCCCAGTGACTTGGACCCTCCACAAAGCCCCAACACAGCCATGCTGAGAAGGGGGAGAATGCAAATCCTGCTTTAATGAGCTGCCAGCCATTCTGGGAGAAAGGAAGGGGAGGGACTATAGGTTGTCATCAGGGAACAGCCTGGGCCTGGGTGATGATGACAATGGTGACATGAGCAGCGGTGGTCTCCGGCAGCTCCTGCACCAGCTGAATGGTGGCCTCCTTGTATAGCCAGCTGTGGGGAGAGGGGTGGTCAGCATGGTGGTTATCAGTGTGCCCTACCACAATAGCTGGGGCACCATTCAGTCGGTGTTCCCCACCATGGCAGCTGGCAGCCTTACCTGACACCATGATGTACAGGAGCCCCTTCCTTCATGGTCCAGCCAGGCAGAACTGCTGCTCAAGGTAGACCTGGGATTTAAACGCTTAGTGGATCCCTGCTGGCCAGAGTCAAGTCTTCCCAGGGCTTCCACCACCAAGGAGGTGTATAGCCGGGGTCTCTGTACCGGAGGGGGCACTGGACACCACCAAAGCAAGTCTGTGGAGATCGACAAGCACCACCTGTCTCATGTTTGCCTCAATAATGACCAAGGCATGTTGGGAGTGGGGGTGACCCACCTGAGGAGGGGGGTTTCAGCCAGCGCCAATTGCAGCCTGGCCTCCTTGGTGGGGAGCGTTACAGTGGAAGACATGCAGGATGTCGGTGAATCTGTGGAAGACCTCCACGACCCAGGTGGCCCCCAGTTCCTTCTACAGAGAGGCGAGCATGAGCATACGGGGAATCAGGGGGCCCGGGCCTGTGGCCAAGCTCGGAGGAAGGGGTGGTGAGGCTCTGCAGGTCCTGTTCTCACAGCCGACCACCTGCTGTCAGAACCACCCTTAGCATGCTGCCACCTCACCTCGTGGGTGGAGAAGGGTCCATCAGAGGTGGGCTGTCCCGGGGCTGCACATCCTACACACAGAGGGGCACACACATGTATATGGAAGACTACACACGCATAGAGGGCAGCACAGCATGCGTATAGAGGCCTGCATAGGCAGGAACACTGTGTGCGTGCGTGCGCAGACTGAGACTGTGAGGGACCTGGACGGGGTGACACTTCCTGCTCCCTCCTACCACCCGACAGTGCTGGGCCTGCCCCGAGACCTACAGGGGGGTTGAGGGGGTGGTGTCTCCCCACAGCGGTGGGGCTCGTGTCCCCGGGACCCACCACACGGTCTGATCACGGCTCTGCTGCCTGACGGGCGACT